CTTCTGCCCTTCTTTTGGAGATAAAGAAAGGAAATTGAAATATATACGTATTCTAATAAGTAGAGGATTGCCATTTGGCCGGGTTAAGCAAGGAAGCCCACTACCAGGATTTTTATTTGCTTTCTTCTCAAAAGTTTAGCCAATGTAACAGGACAAACAAAAGATTTAAATACTAGGAATAAGGAGAGAAGAGTTTTATTGTTTGCTGGTACCTAGAAATCCTGTGACCGTCAGTGGAATATATAGGACTGATATCTCTATCCCCATTCCACATTTCCTTCCTCCACATCTGTGCATTACAGCTGCGTCCTATATATGGCCATGTGGACATTCAAGACCTCCGCATACTGAGTATGTCTGAAACTGCACTGGTCTAAAACCTCCTCCTCCTCATTTGTTGATGAATTAAATTAATAGCATTGCTTAAGGCTGAGTGACCCCTTCTCTCTCCTTTACTGTGCAGATTCGTATGTACCTACACACAGCCAACCAAATATGCACATATTCGGTGGAGATTTATTCAGCACCTTTTGTATTCTAGGCTTTATTCTTGGTGCTAAGGATACAGTGGTAAACAGACGAAGTTCATGCCTTCAAGGGTCTTGCTTTCTAATGAAGGAAGAGAGACAGTATCAAATATAGGATATGTGAGAAGTAAATGCTTGACGGGCTTGGTGGTTAAGAGCTACAGCTGCTAATCAAAAGATCTGCAGTTCTAATCCACCAGCCGCTCCTTGGAAACCCTGTGGGGAAGTTCTACTCTGTCCTGTAGGGTCACTATGAGTCAGAATTGACTGAACGGCAGTAGGGTCCAGAGAGGAGTAAATGCTTAGGAGGAGAAAAAAATGTCAGAGCAATGGTGATAGTGAGTACTGGGTGGGGGGGGTCTGCTACTCTATATATGGCATTCTGGGAAGGCTTTTCCAATAAGGTTTTAAAGGATTGCTCTGCTGCATTATAGAGAAGAGACAGCAGATTCTCGAGCCTGAAAGCTGGGAGACTAGTGATCCAAATGAGAAAGGATGGTAGTGGCTGCAAAAAGGCGAGAAGTAGTGGCCAGGGGAAGGAACTTTGGTGGGACAGTGGTTAAGTGCTCGGCTGCTAACCTTAAAGGTCATTATGAGTTGGAACAACAACAGTAGCCAGGGAGGTGGATTTGATGTATAATTTGGAGTTAGAATAAACAAGATTTGCTGGTGGATTGAATGTGGTTGTGAAGAAAGTACTAGAACAAAAGATGACCTCACAGTTTTTTACTTGAACAACTGGAATAAGAGCATTATTTCCATTTTTTGAGATGAGGAAAACTGTTGGAAGAACAAGTGTGGAGGTAGCGGTGTGTGTACACCAGGAGTCTGGTTTTGGATGTGTGAAGTTGAAGATGCTCATTAGACAGCCAAGTAGATATATTGAGAGTAGACAGTTGAATATACAGATATTCAGGAGAGAGATCTGGGGTGGACCAATAATTAGTCTACTTCCAGAACTCTCACTTCTCTCCATTCCTGTTGCTTCTGCTCTAGGGGAGGGCACGAATACTCTCATGTGGATTATTTTAACTCCCTTCTGTTTTGCCCTTCTGCCACTACTTTGCCATTCTTTCAGTCCACACTGAATACCATAGCCTGAATTTTTCCTGAAATGCAGTTAGATGGGTGTTTCTCACATACTTAAACTTTCACTGGTTCCTCATTGCTGTGAGAATAAGTCCATGCTTTATAACCTGGTTTAAACGTCCTGCATGATGTGGTGTCAGAGTCATTTCTGGTATCATTTCTTTCTACTCAATGTTCTCTGCACTTACTATCTTCATTTCTTTCTATGTCCTCCAAGTTGTCTCCTCTTTAGACCTTCAAACGCTATCCTTCCATTATTTGTCTTTTCCTATCCCTAGAAACCTTCTCACCTGGCTAACTCCTATTCTCTTTCAAGCTTTAGTCTAGATATCATTTATTCCAAGGAGACTGTCCCTGACAAGTTTTTTTCAAGAGCTCTTTTTAATACTCCCATGGTACTTACCACAACATCACTGATCTATCTATGTATTTTAATTGCCATTTTCTTTACATTCACTTCTATTGGACCTTAATTTCTGTGAGACTAGGGACATCTCTATCTTGTCTAGCATTGTATCCACGTTGCCAAGCATAGTCTCTTGCTTTTAGTTAGTGCATAATAAATATGCCTTATTTGACTGAAAAGAAATATGTGACTGATTATAAAACATCTATGCAAAGTTTCTATATTCCAATGGTAACTAGCTACAAAGGATGATGGGGAAAAATACAATGAACTAACCACCTCCTCTCCCATCAACAGTACCTAGGAGTATCATTTAAATGTACGTAGGACTATGCTAACAAGAAATATATATATCCTCTATGAAAAAAGTTGTTTTAAGAGGAATAATTATAGACACATGCCATGTTCATGATTGGAAAGTTTAAAAGTTGTCAAGATGTCAAATCTGCCTGAATCTATTTGCAAAATGTCTTCATTTGAAATAGAATTCTAGTGGATTTTGTTTTTACAATTATTGAATTATTCTAAGTTTCATATGGAAAAATAAACAAGTGAGAAAAGCTAAGTAAATTTAGAAAAAAGGAAAATGAATAATTTGAACAGCCAATTAATATATTACAGATCTATAGTACTTAAGACAGAGTGATAGTATCATAAGAATAGTAGACAGAACAATGATACAGAATAAGAAGCCCAGAAACCCAAAACTAGTGTATCTAGATACTAATTATAGAATAAATATAATTTAAAATCATTTGAGAAAGATGGTTGATTATTCATAAAGTGGTACAGAATTAATAATTGTTTTGAAAATGTAAAATTTGATCCCTACCTCACAGTGTACACCAAAAGCAAAAACAAAAACAAAAACAAAACTACTTTCTTAATTAATCAGCAGTTTAAAAGGAAATAATAAATGAAATTGGATGGAATGTAGATAACTATCTGATTTTTCTTTCTTGTATAAAATAATATAATTATATTGTGCTTTATGATAAAAAAAAGTAATTATAATATGCCAGCTTTTATATATGAACATCTTTTAACCTGTTATTTTGTGTGCTTTGAAAAATTATTTTTCCCCGATGATAGTGATTTGTTCGTGCACATCACTTAAACACTTTGTCCCATTGTTCTTTGTTGTTAAGATCCTAATTTTTTTGAAATGACTGACTTTGATCAATTGTCCATGGCCTTAAAGTAGAGGAAAGATAACAGGAACACTTGATTGGCTATAGCTGTTAACCTTGGCTATCATATATGGTGCTTGTAACCACAGGCCATATATTGTCATTTAACACAAGCATTTATTCTGTGATATATTTTATTGAAAACAGAGAGCTTAAATGCATTTGTTGATTTTAGAACACTCATTAAATAAACTGAATATAAAAGTTTGACTGCTTTTCAAAGACTGAGAAAACAAAACAAAAAACCAAAACAGTTTGTGTCAAGTTGAGACCCCATGTGTGTCAGAGTACAACAGTGCTCCATAGGATTTTCAATAGCTAATCATTTGGAAGTAGATCTCCAGGCCTTTCTTCTCACGTAACTCTGGATAGACGCAAACCTCCAACTTTTGGTCAGCAGCTGAGTTCGTTAACTGTTTGTACTACCCAGGGAAATATTTTAAATAAGCTTGGTATATAAAGTATAAGAGGAGCCCTGGCAGCGCAGTGGTTAAACGCTCAACTATTAACTAAAAGATCAGAGATTCAAACCCACCAGTTACCCTGCAGGAGAAAAATGTGGCAGTCTGCTTCTGTAATGACTTAGAGCCCTGGAAACCCTCTGGAACCGTTCTACTCTGTCCTCTAATGTCACTATGAGTCAGAATCAACTAGATGGCAATTAGGTCTTGTTATTAAGCATAAAATCACTGTTGTTAGTTTTTGTTTAGCATCTTAAAGCTAACGTCTTAACCCATCCTAAGTATAAATATATTATTTCTTGTAATTGTGTCCTGTATAATGTTCATATAAGCTGGCTATATTTTTGTTGCACATGAAAGTTATCCTAAAGGCTGTCTCAGGATCCCATGTAGCCACCAGACTACTGGGATGAGAATTCTACCCAGTGGCACCAACCACTGTTGGTTGGGTGTTTTGTCCATTTAGTCTGCTCAAGTCACACACACAAGACACGAATGTTGGCAAATGAAAGCCATTTTTAGTTACTCACAGAAAACAGAAAGCATAGAACAGGAATAGTTCTATGACAAGTGGTCCCCTTGGCACAAAATCTGTCCGGGCAGATGTGGAAAACTTTTATGCATGCCCCTACTTTGTACCGTAAGTGAGGGACCAAGACAGTTCTGTGATGACCAGTCCTCACTGACGCCAAAGCTGTCTGAGCAGGCTGGAAACTCTTCAGTGCTTGCCCTAGGATGCTCGATAGACAAGGGACTGGACCAGAGGGCTGTCCACCCCCCAGGTTTATATTCCATGGGCTATGGAGCACAATGTAGATTTTCCCTCCTGACCACCCAAGGGAGGTGATTAAACATGTAGGCACCAGCATGGAATTATATCTCTTTAGTCCTGCTGCTTATTTAGACAAACCATTAGGCTTCAGGCTGAGGAGAGGGGGTGTGGGAAGTTTGTTCCTGAAGCCTACAGGTGCAGGCAGGAGAAGGAGCGGGAAGGACCATAGCTTCTGGGCTTGTTGGAAGAACTGCCTTCTCTCAATAATTTATTTTTGCACCTGATGGTATTGGTTCCCATAGTGCTGTGTAGCATATCAGTTTTCCTGTTTACCTTCAAATATTTACTCTTAGGAGTTTTTTGTGTGTTTGTTTTTTTTTGTTTCAATAGCATAAGGACCACCAGTGCCAATATGAAACAATTTATGTCTTGGAATTCTAATATTTTATTATTATTAAAAAATATTCTTTGATGATAGAAAGTTCACTCTCTGCCCTTTTGCAGTTTAGTACCTTAGTAATTAATCCTAACATGACTCTCTCCTTGCTCTTACAGAGAGAAGAGAAGAGGAAGGTTTTGAAGAGAAAAAAGCAATTAAGAAAAAAATTAAAGAACTTAAATTTCTAGATTCTAAAGTTGCTCAGAACCTTTGTAAGTATCATATTTCACTACTATTAAATTATCAAAACATACTAGCGATGGTTTATTTAAATTATTTAATTTTCTTTATGACTTGTTTTTCATTTTGTATTACCTGACATTTATTATTATTATTACTAGTTGTATAGTAAATTCAAAGATAATTCTCCTTTCTTTGAGGCAAGTTATGAGATTAAATTTCTTCAAAAATTAATACATATTAGAAGATACAATGAAAAAGGAATTTAGAATGAAATTTTATGTACCTTCACTGAAAACAGAACTTTCCTTTAAAGTACTTTTTTTCCCTAGATTTTATTTATTGTGTTGTTGTTGTTGAGAATATACACAGCAAAACATACACCAATTCAACAGTTTCTACATGTACAATTTAGTGATGTTAATTGCATTCTTCAAGTTGTGCGACCATTCTCACCTCTTTTCTGAGTTAACCTTAACTCCCTCATTAACATAAACTCACTGTCTCCTGAGATTCCTATCTAATCTTTTGAATTGCTGTTGTCGATTTGATCCCATATAGATAGTTCTTAAAAGAACATAATGCTCAAGGCAGACCTTTTTTTACTAGTTAAGCTTAACTGTTATTCAGTTTTAAGATAACTTCAGGGGATGTTTTTGGTTTAAGGTTTAAGGATTATCTCAAGGAAATAGTTTCAGGGGTTTATCCACCTTCCATGGCCCAGAAATCTAGAGTCCATGAGAATTTGAAATTCTGTTCTGCATATTCCCCGTTTTTATCAGGATTCTTCTATGGAATCTTTGGTCAAAATGTTCAGTAATGGTTACTGGCCACCGCCTACTTCTTCTGGTCTAATGGCAGAGGAGACAGTTGTTCATGGAGGTAATTAGCCACACATTCCATATCCTCCTCCTATTTCTGGCTTTCCTTCTTCCTTTGTGCTCCAGGTTAATAGAGACCAATTGTTGTGCCCTGGGTGGCCGCTTGCAAGATTTTAAGTAGAATTCTTTCCAGATGGCTCAGCCATAATATTAGCCTAAAATTCATCTCAAAGTTCAATATTTGATTTGTTGAAAAGGGTTATTTAGAATTATTTACATATGTACTAAATAGGATTTCAGTTCTAAACGTAATAGCTAACAATTACTGACTGCCTTTGTGTACTAGTTTTGTACTTGGCCTTTTAATCCTTACTACAACCACAGCAGGTAGGAATTCACATTTATATTGTAGATGGGAAACTCTTCAGTGTAGCAGTTAAGTGACTTGAGTAAGGTTGCTCATCCTGAAAATAGCCAGTGGGTATACCCAATGCCATCGAGTCAATTCCACTTCATAGCGACTCTATAGGACAGAGGAAGACTGCCCCATAGGGTTTCTAAGGAGTTTCTGATCGATTCGAACTGCTGACCTTTTGGTTAGCAGCTGAGCTCATAACCACTGCACCACTGGGGCTCCAACAGCCAGTGAGTGTAGGATGTATCTATTCCTGTTTCCAGATAAAGTCACATTATCACCATAGAGAAAGAGCCTGCTAATCTTGTTTGTTATATAGAAGCTATATATCACTTTCATGCAATTGAGAAACATGTCTTAGAGTATAAGATCTAAAGGTCCAGGATCTATACCATTGTCATATTGTGATGTAATCCATTCTAGAATTATTCTTGCCCTTTCTAATTGTAGCAAATGTTGTGATTTAAACTTCATAGTTTGATTCACAGCTGGTTTTTGTCTGTGAAATTCAGAGTCCTTTCAGATGCTGAATTCTGAGAAGAGACTTATGATGGTGACAACTGTTTTATGAATGTGATAAATTGGGGTAAAGCAGTGTTCAGTAGTGGAATAATGATTTTAAAATGGAGTCACGTCTAAAGTTTATTGAAGAGAAAAGTGATGGAGCTATACTAGATAATTTCTTTTAGATTAACTGAAATATTCTATAGGATTTTGAGGAAAAGATCTAAATTTCATTCATTTATTTACTTATTTATGTAAAGGTAGGTTAGGTTCTCTATATTTTGAGTTCATAGAGGTTTTGGCAAAGTTTCTAGGCCCAGTGGATGATCAAGAGAAGGCTCAGGATTTTTACATAGTTCACGTTTTACAGATTTTGTTGAGTGGGTGTTAGAGTTGTAAAGGGAGGATCCCTGGAATATACAAATTATTTCAAAGGTTTAAATATTTATAAGTTCCCTTGCAGAAAACGTAGATGACTGCTTCCAAAATCTGCACAGTTTACAATCCTTGACTGAACCCAGAGATTCCCACTGTGATCTATATAATCACATTCAGAAGAGTAAGATGTGTGTTAGTAAAAAGATTCATTTTATTGCGTATTTTGGAAGCTTTAACTGGATATCGCCTATGTTATTTTCACTAACTTTTAAATATTTAAAAAATAACGTCTGTGCTTGTCTTCTGACTTCTCTGTTAGCCATTAAGTCCTTTTCCAATTCCAATTCCAAAAAAAACTAAGGGTAATCTTCTTGCCCTTAGTTATTTTGGCCAATGTTTTCCAAAGGATAGTTTATTAATAAATTAGGAAAAACTCTAATTTGTTCAATCTTTAAAAATATGTGTATTTAATAACATATTCTATTTTAATTATAGACTAATAGATGTAAGTGGTACACAAATTACAAATATTGAAGAATGTAAAGGAATAAGTTACCTACATTCATAGAGCTAAGTATTCTCATAACAATTTATCTTTTAGTTTTTTCACATTATTATTTACTTAATAATTGTATAACTAAGATCATACAGTTTTGTATCTTCAAAGTTAAAGAGTTCCCAAGACCACCTACACTACTGATACCAGCGCAAAGTTAAAGTGTCCCCAAGACATTCTCAGGTTCAATAATTCACTAGGAGTCACAGAAGTCACTAATAGCTATTATACTTAGAAAATGGTTTATTACAGTGAAAGGATACAGATTAAAATCAGCCAAGGGAAAAGGTACATGGGGCAGAGTCCAGGAGGGTTTTAAGCGTGAAGCTTCCAGTTGTCTCCCAGTGGACTCATGGACAGCACTAACTTCTTCAAGCAACCGCTTGTGACATTTGTACAGAGTGTTACCAACCAGGGAAGTTCACCGGAGCTTTGGTGTTCAGACTTTTTATTGGGCCTTGGTCATGTAGGTAGGGTTGACTACCTGTGTATCTGATCTTATTTCCAGTCCTTCTGGAGGGAAAGCTGATACTACATGGCTCAAAGATTCCACGATAAATCACCTTGTAAGCATAGTGTAACTGATGTGACCCAAGGCCCCCAGGTAAACAGAGATACTTTTATCAGGACATTCCAAAGGCTTAGAGATCACCTCCCAGGAGCCAGGGACAAAGGCCAGACCACTCTTTGAGTAGGGTTAACCCAATACTTCACAATGCCCTACTTTTTTTTGGTGCATTTTCTTTTCGTAGTATTCATTTTAAATTATTTCAGTTATTTTATTCTAGCATATATTACACATAGGAGATATTATATAAAATTCATGATGCATTTTTAATATAATAGATCAAGTACCCATAGCTAAAGAAATAGAACATTACCAGTATTTTACAGGCTTTTATAATGTCCTCTCTGACCGTATTCCTTCCTTTCTGTTAGAAGTAACCTTATCCTGAATCTTGGGTTAAACATTCCCTTTCTTTCTTAAAAGTTTAACAATATATACATGTCTCCAAACAATAAATTGTTTAGTTTTGACTGGTTTTGAATTTTATATAAATAAAATCATATCATTTTAATGCCTCAAGCTGTAGGATATTAGTTTTAATTCCTGGAAAGTATTCCATTCTTTGGCTATCACAAGCTATTTATGCATTCAATAATTGGTTGACATTTGAGTTGTTTCCAGTTTTTGTTGGTAATATGGCAGAATTCTGGAAACTATGGCCCTCAGACCTAATCTGGTCCATTGACTTCTTTTTTAAACAAAGTTTTATTGGAATCCAGTGAGCAGTATTTGTTTATATAGTATCTATGGCTGCTTTTGTGTTACAATAGCAGAGTTGAATATTTGTGACAGAGACAGTATGGCTTACAGACCCTAAAATATTTACTATGTGAATCTTTACAGAAGAAGTTTGAGAACCCCCGATCTAAATATTTATCTGTTTTTTATTTGTACCAGTTTACTCATCTACCACCAGTGCTTGATTATTTCCATTCTACAACCTCACCAATGCTTGGTGTTTTAAAAGTGATCTAGTGTGGCTTTGTGTTTATGTATTATTTTGGAGATTTGTTGAGCCTCCTTGATCTAATGATTTGTATCTTTCAATAATTCTGGAGTATTCTCAGGCATTATCTCTTTAAATATGTTTCTTTACTATTCTCTTTTGGAATTCCAAATAAACATTTTTAAGGTATTCTTACTCATCTTGCATGTTTTTTAAACTAATATTTTTCGTCCCTTTGTCTCTTTGCAGTGTATTTTGGATAATTTCTTTGACTGTGTCTTTCACATCACCAATTTTCTCTTTAGCTGCTGTCTAATCTATCTGTTGAGTTTTTAATTTCAGTAGTAAAATACTTATCTATATATTTACATAAGGGGCCTGGTGATGCAATGATTAAGTGCTCAGCTGCTAACTGAAATGTTGACAGTTTGAACCCATGCATCAGCTCCAGGGGAGAAAAATCTGGCAGTCTGCCCTTGTAAGGATTACAGCCTGGAAAACTTTATGGGGCAGTTCTACTTTGTCACATGGCATTGCTATGAGTCAAAAATCAACTGGACAGCACCCAACCACACAATAATACATACATTTTATGAACCAACACTGCACCATTTTTTATGTATAGAATATATATATTATATATATATATATATACTATATATATAAAATATATAGAGAGATATAATAAATAAATAAATAAATATAAATATATAGATATATATAAAATGGGGGTGCAGTGGTGGTTCAGTGGTAGAATTCTTGCCTTCCATGCAGAGACCCAGGTTCAGTTCTCAGCTAATGCACCTCAAGCGCAGCCACCTGTCATTGGAGACTTGTATGTTGCTATGACAGTGAACAGGTTTTATTGGAGCCCCCAGACTAAGACAGACTAGGAAGAAAGGCCTGGTGATCTTAGGAAAAATCAGCCAGTGAAAACCTTGTGGCTCACAATGGTCTGATCCCATTGTGCATGGGGTTGCCATTAGTTGGGGGCTAACTTGATGGCAGCTAACAACAAGTATATATATTTAAATTATATGTATATATTAATTATATATATATAATTCTGTATATGTATAATTTATATTTTATAAATGTATATACACACACGCACACACAGAAGCATAGCTTGTTTTATTGTGCTTCGCTTTATTGTCCTTCGTAGATACTGCGTTTTTTTTACAGATCGAAGGTTTGTGGCAACCTTTCATCCAGCAAGTCTGTTAGTGCCATTTTTTCCAACAGTATGTGCTCATTTCTTGTCTCTGTGTCACATTCTGTTACTTCTCGCAATATTTCAAAATTTTCATTGTTATTATATCTGTTATGGTTATCTGTGATCGGTGATCTTTTTTTTTTTGTATATGTGTAAACCTTTTCATGAGTTTTTATAGTAGTGGTCTCATACAATATGATCTTTGATGTTACTATTGTAATTGTGTTGGGGTGCCACAAACTGCATCCATATAAGATGGCAAACTCAACTGATAAACGTGTGTGTTTTGACTGTTCTTCCGACCGGCCGTTCCCCCATCTCTGTCCCTCTCCTTAGGCCTCCCTATTCCCTGAGGCAAGACAGTATTGAAATTGGGTCAGTTAATAACCCTACAATGACGTCTAAGTCTCTATTCTGCCGTACTTCCTGAAATATAAAGCTATTATTTTTCTCTTCCACTTGTTATATTATGCCCCCAAAGTATTCTATCCTTTTGATTTTTCTATTTAACATTATATTGTGAATGCTTTTCATGTCAATACTATTCCTATGTATATATGTTCTTTACCATTATGTGTCATTTTAAGTAGTACTGGAAAGGATACTTTAGTAGATATAAGCTTCTCTACCTCTCTTGTATCTGTAGACTAGCTTTCTGGAGTGTATTGTTTCTCAAAGGGTATCAATCTTTTCAAGGCTTCTAATCGATTAAGGTAAGTTTGGATTCCCAAAATGTCTTGATTAAGTTTCTCAATTTGCTTGCTAGTGAGATTTAACATATTATGTGCTATTATCATTTTATGTGCCATTTTTAGTTCTTATTGTTTTAATTGTTTTTACCTGCATCTTGCCCATTTTTCTATTTGGAGCTCTTGGTAATCTATTTGTTTTTGAATGCTTTAAAGGAAAAATAAGGCTCTGTGAATTTTGTGGCAGGTTTTCCGTCCAGCTTGCTTGTTTTTTAATCGTTTTATGTACTTTGAGATTAGCACTTTCCTTTTACGTTTTCAGATATCAGTCTTTTCACATGTTTTCCATTGACTTATTCTTAAGAAATTCTTCTCCAACCAGAGATGAGCTAATTTGTCATATTAAATTTCTTTCAGTATTTGTTTTTGTTGTTAACGCTTATGTTTAATCTTTAGACATCTGCAATTTGTTTTGTACATGATGTGAAGATTTAGATTTATTCCCTCTTCATCATTTATTTATTGATTATTCCTTTGAGATTATATAGTTATTAAATTTGTATGCTTTCTATTTTCTGCTGTGGGCTTATACATTTTAATTGTATTAATCTCTGTCTATTACCATGTCATTTAGATCCTTTGTTCCAACTTGTTTTTATCGCCATATGGTATGTTAAACTCAGGGATGATGGATGTTAAAGATTAGACATATTCCTATTTTCTAGCATTATTCTGTATTTATGACTTGGGTTCAGAAATGTGTAAATGAAGCTGGTGATCTGAACACAGACTTACCCATCTATAGGTAATACATGGCATCCTCAAGAGTCTATAATACAGCTTTATTCCAAGAGAGAAGCAGTTCATGTTTTCTGAGTGTTATGAAAAATAGTTTATCTATATGGAAATACCTGCAGACCAAATGACATAGAAGTTCTGTATATAAAATAAATGAGTCATATGTAGCAAGTATTGAGTATATTCAAGAAGTGACATCTGTCACGGGAGAGAAGAGACTTAAGAATACTATGATAAGGGGGAAACAGCAAAAGCATTACATTTAATGCTGTGAAAATATTCTTACATAACCCAATAGCTTTTGAGTAGACCATTATGTTATAGCACTAGATATCAGAGGTATCGAGAAAAATTTAAATAATGTTTGGAATTCTCATTTATAACATATTATCCTATCTAATCCATTTGGGCATGTTTTCGTGGAAATTTGTTTTCTAAAATTGGTTATTTAAGCTTTAGTTATACACAAAGGTTATTTCTTTAGCATAGTGTCTGCAATGTTTCCGAATAGTGAAGAGCTACTATAGCTTGTAAAAGTATTACTGCACTGTTTAGCAGTCTTTTAAACATAATATTTCTGAACTATTTAGTAGGGCCGGGATATTTTATAGAAGCTAATGACACACATGTTTACACAAATAATACATGTACATACTGAGGTTTCATGATTTTTTTCATTACAATGTGATGTTTTCATAATGTACCGAACATATTTCAGGTTTTTATCATGTGAAAATTGGCATCATTACCATTGTAGACTAATAACAAAGCATTAAAAATCAACCTCATGACCAGCATAATAATACAAGATTGTTGTTAAACCCTGGAGCTAAAACAGGAGAAGAGTATAAAATGTGCTAACGGAAGTTTCCCCTGTAGTAGTTAATATTAAATGTTTGAAGTCTTGTTTTATGGAATTTTTTGATTTTATAAATAGAAGTACATCTCAAGTTCTTTTCTTACCTAATTCATTATGAACCATTTTTTTTCCCCTTAGCAATCTTCCTGAGCTCTTTTCGGGTGCCATATGAGGAAATCAAAATGATGATATTGGAAGTCAATGAAACACAGTTGGCAGAGTCTATGATTCAGGTAAACAAACAGGCAGAGAGCTTCAATTCCACTATTTCACTGCAGGCTTCTCCTTTAATAGAAATCTGTAAGTGAAGCAAAATTCTTAACCCAAATCATTCAACTGGAAAATCATTGCTGCATAATTAGTTTTAACATCACTTCTGCATTGCCAGGAGATAAAACTCTGCATTTTCTCTTAACTGCAAGCTACATATAATGCTATCAAAATGATTACATTTCATTTTTTGTAAATGACTCTTTTTTTTGAATGGCAAATTGGTTAATTTTACATCAATATTTCTGTTTGTTACAGTTAAAAAACTAGTAATATATTAATTTAAATTTGTTTCTACTATTCTTTAAAATGGGTTTTTCTCAGATTTGTATGTCTTATTACAAATATCTGTATTAATATTTAATGTAGAAGATTGAGGGTGTTTTTATTTAATGTTGCCTTTACCAACAGCCCTTCCTTGAGTCACTCCTGCTTCTATGAATACTGGAGATTGTTTGATAGTGTTCTGAATTTATTCAGAAAGGTGGAAGACTTTTTACAGTTGTTTCTACTTATAGTGTTATTTAAAGAAAGCTACCGAGGAGCTATCGGTATTTGATGAATTCCATACAAGGGATCATTAATATATATCTTGGTAGAATTTAACCCCACTGCTGTCCAGTTGAGATGATTCTGACTCACAGCGACACTATGGGACAAAGTAGAACTGCTCCATAGGGTTTCCAAGGCTGTAAATCTTTATGCAAGCAGACCACCACATCTTTTAAACCACCAACCTTTCAGTTAGCAGCCGAGCACTTTAACCACTGCACCACCAGGGCTCCCTGATAGAATTTAAAGGTGAATCAAAACACAAATTGTATAGTGAGAGAATAATATCTTCCGTTTACTATCTTTTATTCTTATAATGAGTAAAAGAAAAGTAGGAATTTTTTTTAGCAATAAAAAGAAAGTAAGGTTATTTATTAGTACCAAAAAGCAATTAAAATTATTCTAGACATTTTAATAAATGATGTCATCATAAGTGTCCCCCCCCCCCAGTTTTGCCTTTTCTAGCTTGTCTTCTAAATGTGGTGGTGGTATAACCTCATAAGTGATTTGTGCTATGAGTCTCTGAGACTCACAAATGACCTAATTTAACAACCCTTCTTTAAGCATTTTTTTCTCTAGCAACTTGTTTTTACTAGATTTTTTGCCTTTCTTTTGGATGATTTTGTATGTGGCTTCTTGCTAGAGTAGATTCCATGTTCTTAAAGAAAGTGTATTTAATACATGGTTGTATTTTTTTATAATGCATTTGGTAAATAAATATTTACAGAGTAGCTTTAACTTGATTGCCTGAATGTTCTGGATGATCATGTGCCTTTTGTTCTATAGAAATAGAAAAAAAGATGTTTTGCATTTTAAATTCATGTCCAAAGAATATTCAGCTACGTATAATTCCTTATGTATTAGTTTTCTATTGCTGCTGTAACAAATTACCTTACACTTCTAGAACAACACATATTTATTATCATACATTTCTATAGATCAGTAGTCTGACATGGGTCTTACTGGACAAAATCAAGATTTTTGCATTCTTTTCTGTAGACTGTAGGGGAAAATTTGTTTCATCACCCTTTTTACCTTCTAGAGGCCACATTCTTTGGCTCTTGGCCCCTTCTTCCATCTTCAAAGTCAGCAACGTTGCATGTCTCTGAACATTCTTCCATAGCACATCTCCCACTGATTCATCTGACTCCTTCTTCCACTTTCAAGGACTCTTGTGATTACACTGAGCCTACTCAGATAGTCCAGAATAGTCTCCCTAGTTTAAGGTCAGCTGGTTAGCAACCTTAATTCCATCTGTAACTTCAATTCCCTTAGCCCTGTAACCTAATATATTTACAGGTTTTGGGGATTAGGACGTGGACATCTTGAGTGGAGGGGCATTATTCTGCGTCCCACACTTATGAAATATAAACCAGTCTTACGAATTTAAAAAACTAAAAATTGATTTTGGGCATATTCAAGACCTTCATATATACTTTTTAAAATAAGAATGTCATGCTATTTTGAAGTCTCATTTTTAATTTAAAAAACTTGTTCCTAATTTCAAAGTGAAGAGCCGCCCATTTTGAACAGAGCATGAAAACAACATTATTTTTTAATAATCATCATTTTGGTGGAATTTGCTCATTGTCATGATTTTATTTTAGTTTATCTAGTTATTTTTTCATATAGAATAGGAAGTCGGTAGTAAGTTATTTTTGATGCCATTTTTCCACATCATTCTTTATGCATTTCCCCATGTTTGTCCCATCAGGCTTCTGTTATTTAATTCATTTAGCAAGTATTTTAATGTACCTAGCATTTATACAACTCATTGTACTAGGTTCAGTGAGACACGGAGTTTGCCTTCTGGAAATTTAGCTTGGTAAAGGAGATGACAGTTACATATGTAATTATAATTCAAGATAGATATGGCTGTATTAAAATTGACTTAGAACTAGATATTGTGTGTATGTTTAGAGTCAGGGACACTTAAAAAATGAGTAAGGTGTGGATGTAGAATAGGGCAGGGGATTGTGTGAGCAATATAATAAAAGATAATTGTTCCTACAGTATTAATAGTGTGAGCTGTGAAGGACAAGGTAGGTGTGTGTGGCAACTGTGATGTTTAGTTTGACAGGAACTTAGGATTTGTGACGGGTATGGGATATGCAGTAAGGAGAAAGATGAAGGGAGGTTGAGCCTGTATTCTTAAAAATCAGAATAGTCTTATTACATTAGAAAGCAAAAATATTGAAGTGAAAATTTTTTGATGAAAGATTAAAATCTAATTATATCTTAAGTAAAAATATCCAAGGGGATTTGATGGTAATCTTAAAAAAAAAGGAATGTCAAATATTGTATAAGACCACTATTATGAGAACTCAAGAAAAGGTTTAAACACAGAAGAAAACATTCTTTGATGGTTATGAGGGTGGGGAGGGAGGGTGAGGGTTATTCACTAACTAGATAGTAGATAAGAATTTCTTAGGTGAAGGGAAGGACAGCACACACTACAGCGAAATCAGCCCGAAGGGACTAAACCAAGGCTAAGAAGTTTCCTGAATACAGTCAAACACTTCAAGAGACAGAGTAGCAGGGGCGGTGGTCTGGGGACCATGGTTTCAGGGGACATCTAAGTCAATTGGCATAACAAAGTTAATTAAGAAAATGTTCTGCATCCCACTTTGGTGAGTGGCGTCTGGGGTCTTAAAAGCTAGCGAGCAGCCATCTAAGATTCATCAATTGGTCGCAGCCTACCTGGAGTAAAGAAGAATGAAGAACACCAAAGACACAAGGGAAGTATTAGCCCAAGAGACAGAAAGGGCCACATAAACCAGAGACTTCATCAGCCTGAGACCAGAAGAACTAGATGCTGCCTAGCTACCACCAATGACTGACCTGACAGGGAACACAACAGACAGTCGCTGATGGAGCAGGAGAAAAGTGGGATACAGAGCTCAAATTCTAGTAAAAATACCAGACTTAATGGTTTTATTTGAGACTGGAGGGACTGTGGAAGACATGGCCCTCAGACTCTCTGTTAGCCCAAAACTAAAACCATTCCCGAGGCTAACTCTTCAGACACAGATTAGGCTGGACTATGGGACATAAAATGATATGTGTGAAGAGTGTGCTTCTTAGCTCAAGTAGAAACATGAGTCTAAATGGGCAACTCCTGTCCGGAGGTGAGATGAGAAGGCAGAGTGGGTCAGGAGTTGGTTGAACAGACACGGGAAATCAGAGGTGGAAAGGAGGAGTGTGCTGTCACAGTATAGGGAAAGCAATTAGGGTCACATAACAATGTATGTATAAATTTTTGTATGAGAGACTAACTTGAATTGTAACCTTTCACTTAAAGCACAACTACCAAAAAAAAAAAAAAAAAAAAGGAATGTCAGGCTAAAGAAATTCAGAGGCCTGATGCAATAAATAATTCTAATAACCCAGCTATCAACTGGAATGGTTAAAAGAAAATATAAATAACCTATTTGGTCTTAGTTCCATTGAGAAAGATAATTTCTATTTATATTGGAAAATCATATACCTTGTTTTGATTCAGTTTAATAGTATTAGTAGTGGATAATTTTTCTAAGGATGACCTTAAATTGCCGCTTTTTGTTTTGTTTTGTTTTTGACCAGTTAACCAAGTTTTTGTCCAAAGGTACACAGTGAGTCAATAACTTGTTCTTTGATCTAACTACTTTGATACATAATATTCTAACACTACTCTTAACTAATACCGCCTTTGGGGGATTTTCCCCCAGAAATCTGTGTAGCATGATGTAGGCTTAATTCTAATTTGAATTTGACTTTGGGCTTGTACAAAATTTACTGTTGCTATAATTCGGAATTGTGAGCACCATCCCTGCAATTTGGAATTGTGAGCACCAACCACTCATTTTTTCTTAATTTTATCATCAATACACTAACTGGTTATAACACTCTTATCATCGACTACGTTTTGATACAGAGGGTCTATACAGACTTTTGTCCAAGGAATGGTTTAATCATTTAAGCACTAGCAGGGAAGCATGATTATGTGCATTCCCTTGGCCTGTCTCCATTGGGAGCTGTTCTCTTGTCTAAGCCTGCGGCTTGGGGAGGACTGGGTATGGACAAAGGAGCTAAAGAAGCCGATTGAGCCCATTGTTTCTGGTCCTCAGATGATATAGGCAAAGGGCTGTTACAGTCATGGGCAGTTAAGTTCCTAAAGGATCTCTTTATATACATTTTAGCTACAAGATACATCATCCTGTATCTTCAGTGCCTTTTTAAATTTTCTTTTACCTTAGAAAAGTTACTTAGTGTTTGTTTTAGAGATGCCTTCAGTTTTTATTATTAAAATCATAATCCTATCAGTCATATCTTGCAAGCACTGTCATTAAAATCCCCTTGATTTCTTTTCTATCATTTAGCTCTCCTTTTAGTAGCAATTTGATGATTTCTTTTATTCCCATGAGTGAAATGTTAAAATATGTTTGGCTTTGCCTGAAATTTCTGACATTTAATTCCCTAAAGCTGTAATGTAATGGATCACTTATACCAGGTAAAGAAGCTGTTCCTTTGCTATAGGTTGATCTCTTCTTTCTCAATTACATAGCTGATCAAATAAACATTCAGTAGTGCTTGGTTTGAATATATAATAACACTGATAAAGAAGAGGAAATGAAACTTAAGGTTACAAGGAATGTAGCTTAAGGGAGGTTACCAAGAAATACGACTACAGGTTAGCTTCTTCACTAGATTCCTTCCTACAGTTTTAATAACTTTTTTTTTTTCCTAAAGGTTGAGAAGTGCATTTAATGAAGATTTTTTTCTTTTGGTTTTAATTTTTAGAACTTAATAAAGCATCTTCCTGATCAAGAGCAATTGAATTCGTTATCTCAGTTCAAGAGTGACTATAGCAACTTATGTGAACCTGAGCAGTTTGCTGTAGTGGTGAGTGCTAGTTCTCAGTGTTAACTCTTTTGAGGGGATTCTTACATGATGCAAACAAGACAAAGACAATGTCAAGCTTTTTCACATCTCTCTTACTCACATTCATTTAATGCCCATCTTGCTTTTTTTAACCTAAAGCTAATTCATGAGAAATTATCTTGATTTAAAATATATACTGAGGCTCTGGCCTTCAATGAAGTCCAATGGGTTTTGAAATTTTTTTTAATTTAATTATTTAATAATTTTCTATGTTCTCTATTTAATGTAAAAATGAAAGTTGTACTCGTTATTAATACAGAGTATATTTATGATTTATTCCACCATCTTGCAAGAGTAGCCTCAGTTTCTCATTGTAGTCACTGACTTCAGTTTGTCCCATGGTTTAAAATCTGAAATTAGAAATATACTCTTTCTTGGCAATAAAGAGTGAAAAATGAATACATTTTAAAAAATCTTAGAGGAACTTTGGTAATCATCTTCTGCTAGCCCTCTGTTTTATAGAAGCTGGGGTCTGGAAAGGTGAAAAGACTTGCCAAGGTTATATATTAACTGTGTTGCAACATAAAAGTAAGATTTTTATCAGCCTTTCTTTCCTCTGCTCTTTTCTCATACCATTAAATTATCATTTTTAGGTTGGTTACACTCATTCATCATGGTGATGCTTTAAGTAGTGCTTTATTTTTTTTAGAAGATGATTTATTCTTTTTTTTCTTTCATCTTCAGTTATATTATTATCAGCCTCCAGGGACAGGATGGAATTGTATTTGATGTAATTTTGAAAATTCAGATTGGCCAGCTAAACTAAATGTCTATGTGTACATGCCATGTTTGGCATGTTGTAAGCATTTGCTGTTAAATTCCTTCCTATCTATCCATAAACCTACCCTACCCAGACCCCTTCCCCAAAAAAGGCTCAAAAGACCTGAAATTGAACACACACACATGAAAAGTGGACTTTTCCTTATTCATAGTATTATAATTTTTATTTTAAAGCTTTAACTCATTTTTAAAAATCATACTATGTTTTCGTTGAAAGTTTACACAGCAAATTAGGTCCTCAATTAACAATTGCTACACAAATTATTCAGTGACATTGGTTACATTTTTCACAATGTGTCAACATTCTCATTAATTATGTTCTAGATGTTCCATTTCCAATAATCTAGTTTCCCTATCCCTTTACCCTTTTATCTTTGCTTTACAGTAATTGTTTATCCTTTGGTCTCACATAGATGATTTTTTAATGGTGCATGGTATTCACAGGTGATATTTATTTTATGAACTAATATGTTATTTAGCTAAAAGGTGACCTCAGGAGAGGTTTAAGAGGTTTAAAGAGTATCTCAGGATGATAATCTTGGGGAATCCTCTAGTTTTAACCAGTCCAGTAAGTCTGGACTTTTTAAGAATTTGAGTTCTGTTCCATATTTTTTTATTATTCTGTCAGAATCCGTATTGTGGCCCTGATGAAAATGGTAGTTAGTGGTAGCTGGGCACCATCTAGTTCTTTTGGGCTCGGGGTAGATGAGGCCATGGTTTCTATAGACTGTTGTCCTGTAGACTAGTTTCTTCTCTGAGTCTTTGGTTTACTTCTTTTGCTTTTGCTCTGGACGAGTAGAGACTGATAGTTGTATCTTAGATGGCCGCTCACAAGGTTTTAAGAACCTTGACACTACTGACCAAACTAGGATGTAGAACGTAAACTTTATGAACTATATTAATTATGCCAATTTACTGAGTTGTCTAAGAAGTATCTGTAACTATGCCATGTGGATAATTTTATATATGAGTGTACATGCATGTACATACATGCATATACACATACATATAGAAACATCTGTATGCACACATGTACACATACATACATCCTTATAGATGCATATATACATATACATGAAACCATACACATATTTTTTGATTGTTGTTGGTGTTGTTACATTATAAATGTCATATCCTTTATCAAAAATCTCCCTTTCTCTTGTGTACTTCTTAGTGACATAATTCATCTTGGTCAGGCTGTGCGCTTTACATCCACATTCTGTGCTACCTTTCCCATCACCAAAAATAAATAAATAAAAATAACGGTTGTCTACTATCTACAGTAATTATCAGTGCATCTTGATTGCATGTTTGATCAATTTCAGACTGCAGATGTTGGTAAAAATCTTCAGTTTCTTCATCTTTGGCATTAGTGGTTGGTGCATAAATTTGAATAGTAGTCGCATCAACTGGTCTTCTTGTAGACGTATGGATATTATACTATTACTGATAGCATTGTACTTCAGGATGTGATGCTATTCCTCTTCAATTTGTCATTCCTGGCATAGTAGACCGTATGATTGTCAGATTCGAAATGGCCGAAGAAGAGGGATCAGTAGTTGGAAAATATGGCCTTGGTGATAAAAACGATACTGCAGATCGCATGGTAGAATTTTGCAAGACTGACTACCTTTTCACAGGAAATACCTTTTTTCAGCCACACCAACAGTGACTTTACATGTGGCCCTCACTGAATGGAATACACAGGAATCAAATTGACTAATCTGTGGAAAGAGACAATGGACATGCTCAATATCATCAGTCAGAACAAGGCTGCAGCTGGCTGTGGAACAGACTGCCAGTTGCTCATATGCAAATTCAAATTCAAGCTGAAGAAAATTAAAACAAGTCCATGAGAGCCAAAGTACAACTTTGAGTATATCCCACCTGAATTTAGAGATTATGTCCTGAATAGATTTGAAGCATTGAACACTAATGACTGAAGATGAGACAAGCTGTGGGATGACATCGTGGACATCATACATGAAGAAAGCAAATGGTCATTAAAAAGACAAGAAAGAAATAAATGACCGAAATGGATGTCAGAGGAGACTCTGAAATTTGCTCTTGAACGTAGAGTAGCTAAAGCAAATGGAAGAACTGATGAAGTAAAAGAGCTGAACAGAAGATTTTAAAGGATGGCTCAAGAAGACAAAGTATTGTAATAAAATGTGCAAAGACCTGGAGATAGAAAACCAAAAAGGAAGAACACACTTGGCATTTCTCCAGCTGAACGAACAGAAGAAAAGATTCAAGCCTTGAGTTGCAGTAGTGAAGGATTCTACAGGGAAAATATTAAATGACACAGGAAGCATCAAAAGAAGATGGAAGGAATACACAGAGTCATTATACCAAAAAGCAGTGGTCAACGTTCACCCATTTCAGGAGGCAGCATATGATCAGGAACTGATGGTACTGAAGGAAAGAAGTCCAAGCTGCATTGAAGGCACTGGCAAAAAATAAGGCTTCAGGAATTGACAGAATACCAATTGAGATGCTTTCAACAGACAGATGCAACGACTTGTCTATGCCAAGAAATTTGGAAGACACTTACCTGGCCAACTGGCTGGAAGAGATTCATATTTGTGCTCATTCCAAGGAAAGATGATCCAACAGAATGAGGAAATTATCCAACAATATCATTAATAAGTAAAATTTTGCTGAAGATCATTCAAAACTGGTTGCAACAGTACGTCGACAGGGAACTGCCAGAAATTTAAGCTAGATTTAGAAGAGGATGTGGAATGAAGGATATCATTGCTGATGTCAAATGGATCCTCCCTGAAAGCAGAGAATACCAGGAAGATGTTTACCTGTGTTTTATTGCCTATGCAAAGATATTCTACTAGGTGGGTCATTACAAATTCTGAATAACTTTGTGAAGAATGGGAATTCCAGAACGCTTAATTGCGCTCATGAGGAAACTGTACATAGATTAAGAGGATGTCTTTTGAGCAGAACACGGGGATACTACGAGGTTTAAAGTCAGGAAAGGAGTGTGTCAGGGTTGTGTCCTTTCACCATACTTATTCAATCTGTGTGCTGAGCAAATAATGCAGGAAGCTGGACTATATGAAGAATGTGGCATCAGGATTGGAGGAAGACTAACAGTCTGCGATAATGCAGATGACACAACCTTGTGTGCTGAAAGTGAAGAGAACTTGAAGCACTTACTGATGAAAATCAGACTATAGCCTTCAGTATTGATTACATGTCAACATAAAGAAAACAAAATTCTCACAATTGAACCAATAAACAACATCATGATAAACGGAGAAAATATTGAGGTTGTCAAGGATTTCATTTTACTTGGATCCACAGTCAGCGCCCATGGAAGCAGCAGTCAGGAAGTCAAATGACAAATTGCACTGAGGAAATCTACTGGAAAACACCTCTTTAAAGCGTTAACATGGGAAGTTGTCATTTTGAGGACCAAGGCCTGACCCAAGCCATGGTATTTTCAGTTGCTTCATATGCATGTGAAAGCTGGACAATGAATAAGGAAGACTGAAGAAGAATTGATGCCTTTGAATTATGATGTGGGCAAAGAATATTAAATATACTACGGACTGACAGAAGAACCGACCAATCTGTCTTGGAAGAAGTACAACCAGAATGCTCCTTAGAAGCAAGGATGACGAGACTACATCTCACGAACTTTGGACATGTTATCAGGAGGGACCAGTCCCTGGAGAAGGACATCATGCTTGGTAAAATAGAGGGTCAGCAAAAGAGAAGAAGATCCACTACAAGATGGACTGACACAGTGGTTGCAATGGTGGACTCAAGCATAACAATGATTGTGAGAATGGCGTGGGACGTGGCAGTGTTTTGTTCTGTTGTACGTGAGGTCGTTAGGAGTTGGAAGTGACTTGATGACACCTAAGAACAACAAGCATTTGCTATTAAATTCCCTCCTGTCTGTCCATAAACCTACCCTGCCCAGCCAAAAAAAAAAAAAAAAACCAAGTCCACTGCTGTCAATTCAATTCCACTCATAGCGACTCTATACGACAGAGTAGAATTGCCCCCATAGGGTTTCCAAGGGTGTAATCTTTAAGGAATCTGACTGCCGCATCTCTCATCTGCACAGATTCTCATGTTTTTGAACCATTGGCTTTTTGGTTAGTAGCCAAGCTCTTTGACCACTGCATCACCATGTCTGCTATCCTACCTAGCCA